TTTTTTCAAATATTTCGTGCAAATGTATATTATCTTCTACTTTACTTCTAAATCGATATAATATATTACTAGAAATCACATTAAAAACTGGGCAATACCCTTTAATTGATATAAAGACAGTACCAAATTATATAAAAATTGATCAAATTATTTACACCCTTAGAGCTGTAATAGCTTACGAAGGCAATGAGCAAAATGATCCTAATATTTTAGGTCATTATATAGCTTATAGCTTACGTCGCAATGTATGGTAAGTTTTTAATAATTTAAAAGTTAAAAAAATTTTTAATATAACAAAAAAAAAATCGACCACACATACATATATATATATATATATATACTATTTGTTATCCATTCATTTTTATATTGAATATCTATTCTCAACTTAAATTTTTATTATGTTATATAATTTTTTATAGTTGAATTTGAAATACATTTAATATACTCAATTACGCTACTTATTTATATTTATCATATGGTACTACTTTCTTATTTTTTATGAATATATGAATCATTTTATAACATCGAGGAAGGGTAAAAGTTTCTCTATCGCTATCTATGAAAAAATATATTATTTTTGGCAACAAAATATTAATGTAACGGTCAATATTTGGAAAACGGTAATGGTACAAATCGCTCCTATTTTAAAAATTTGAAAAATGCCAAAGCTGCAATATCGGGTGGCTAACTTTAGGCTATAATATAAATTTAAAATGTCACTTCCGAAATAAATAATGGAGAGAAAAATTAATTTGAAGCAACATTAGGAAGAGAAAAAGATTCTCTATCGTTGTACGTTAAGAAATTTTTAAAAAAAAATTAATTTTGAGTGTTTTTTTATTTTTGGCGCCAAAACATTCATCTGGAAAACGGTAATGGTACAAATCAAACTGAAAACGGTACAGATCATTCTCTATCAACCTATGCACTTTTTATTTTTAAATTTCAAAAGTTGAAGGAGGGGGTGGCAGCTGTCGTAAAATCCACCCCCCCCCCCATTTTGTTCTTTTGAATATCTCAAAAACGGTGTATGGTACAAATGAACTGAAAACGGTGCAAATCATCCCAACTGATAAACCAATAAAAAATCTAAAAGTGGTGGGGGGGGGAGCAACTTCAAGGACCTAATTTTCTCTTTACAATAATCACAATTAAACATCGTCATTAATTTCTATCATCCGATTTTTCTACAAAAAATTATGATTTTTCTCATTGCATCATACATAATTAAACATATCAATTCTATCGTCTGATTTTTATAAATAATTATAAAACTGTTCAAATTTAAATTATAAAACTTTAATTTAAAATAAATATTTGAAAAAAAAAAACTATAGCCAAGGAACACACAGCAACTATTAAAAGAAATATTCTGATGTAAATCTGTATTTATTGCGAATAATATATATATAATAGGTTAATACTGTTGTAAATATATGTTAAATAGATAAAAAAATTTAAAGATAAATTAATTAAAATACATCCGCTAGAAAGCGTATTTATAATAATTTTTTTTATTTTGGCATTTATCAAAATAACTAGCATCACTGCTGACGAATTAGAAAAAGGCACCTGCAAAAGTATTGGAATATGTGTTAGATTTAGAAATTTATAATCAAGAAATATATAAATAAAATTATTATTATGATCAAAATTAATGTCTAAAATGGGTGGGTTTAGGACCCGAATGCTTACCTACCAGCCCATAAGTTTTCTTTAATCCGCCCATTCACTATTTAAAAATTATCTTATTGGTTGATTTGGCTCTATATTTATTCTATTTTGATGTATTTTGACTTAAACTTATAAAAAAATATGCAAATATTATGAAATAAAAAAAATGATTTATAATAAATAGAGATACTTTTCTTCTCATTTTCGACTGAAATTATTTCAAATCCATCGGCCATATTGCTCTAATTTAACCCGCCCGCTTACCCGTCCATTGTCTAAAATCTATTAGCCCGCCCATTGCAGCGTCTAGTCAAAATTAGGTTATAGAAAAATATCACGGCTTTTAGGTAACTTTATACTTATTGTTAATATTTTAGTAGGTAACCACATAAAGTTGACTGGTGCATATATGCACCGTTAACCATCTAGCAGTATATATTATTTAAAAAAATTAAAACAAATGAAATTTAACATAATGAATTATAATTTTTTATATTATACTTAAAACCACTACCGTCACTAAGGGTGGGAAGGGGAGGGGTGGGTGGCTCGAGCCCCTTAAGAATTTTTAAAAAAAATTTTATACCCAAAAAAGACCTTTTGAAAATAATTTAAAAAAATTTTTTTCCCCTGAGATTAAATCGAATAATATATTGTTCCTATTATAATTTTTTATCCCGATCAAATTATATGAAATTATTAGGTTCATAAATATTCAAAAGTTTAAAATTATTTTTAGCCTCTTCCTTTCTGAAGATTTTATTTTATTTATATAAAATATTATGCACCTGTTTTGTCAATTCAATCAAAATTATCAAAATAATAGATGACTAATAAAAAAATCAAGATTCTACGAAAATAATTTGTCTAGATATTTAATTTTTAATAAATTTTTTTAATGAAACGTTTTCTAACAATTGAACAAGCGCTTGCTCAACTTTTTGAAGAGGAACCAATTGAAGAAAGAGATATGGATATAATTCCGCCAAACCCCTCTGCAGTTAGTGATGAAGAAGATTTCGATGAAAATGACTTAACAAATGTCGGAGTTTTGCCTTCAGATACAGCTGGAGAATTGGAGATTCATAATTCAGTTGATGACGACCTTCCAGAACCATATTCTACAAGAAGCTATTCTCGAATTTCTCACAATTTAAAATGGAGAAAAACGGATGCAATATATTCTTCAAGCCCTTTCAATGGAGAAAAGGAAGATGTAATAAAACTTGAAAATGATTTACATGGTAAAAGTCCATCAGATATATTTTGTTTAATTTTCGACGAAGACTTATATTCCCTAATTGTAGAACAAAGTAATATTTATGCTAAACAAATGAATAGACCTAACATATGCATAACCATCCAAGATATTCAGAGATTTATTGGAATTCTATTATTTACTGGATATCATTCTCTCCCACAAGAAAGAATGTACTGGTCTAATGACAGCGATATTTCTATTCCAATAATCCGGGATACAATGACCCAATTACAATTTCGAAATTTGAAATATAATATCCATTTGGCAGACAATACTAAAATAGATATACATGATAGATTTTATAAAGTTAGGCCTTACATTAATATATTGAATAATAAATTTCAGCAATTCGGAATTTTTAAACATCATTTATCAATAGATGAACAGATGATACCATATCGAGGAAGACATTCTTGCAAAATGTTCATAAAAGGAAAACCAATTAGATTCGGATACAAGTCTTGGATATTGGCCTCTTCCGACGGTTACGTATTCTCATTTGATATATATCAAGGAAAAAGCGAAAATAAATATGAATATGGATTAGGTGGAAATGTAATCATAAAATTATTAAAGGCATTGCAAAAACCAAATTATCATAAAATATATTTTGATAATTTCTTTACATCATTTAAACTCTTGTCATACTTAAAACAAATGGGATATTTTGCAACTGGAACTGTGAGGGACAATAGAATAGAGCATTGCCCAGTTGAATCTATAAAGGTTGTAGCAAAAAAAGAAAGAGGATATTATGATTATAGGTTTGAAAAATTAAACGAAATATTTGTAGTTCGTTGGAATGATAATTCGGTGGTGACCGTTGCATCGACATGCCACACTATCTCTTTGCTTTCTAATGTTTCAAGGTATTCTAAGAAAATATCTTCTAAAATAAAAATTCCTCAGCCAAATATGGTAACTGCTTATAACAAACACATGGGTGGAGTTGATCTATGTGATAATCTAATATCTACATATAGAATAAAAATAAGAGGAAAAAAATGGTGGTGGCCAATATTCACCAATTTTATTGATGTAGCTTTGGTAAATTCATGGAAAATCTGGAAATTCGTGAATCGAGATGACAAGAAGAGTTTGCTTGCATTTAGACGAGAAGTTTGACTTTTAAAAAATGATAACTTGCTTTACATTAAGATTAAACATACCATTTACATTCTGATCATAATGCTAAAAATGGTATGTTTAAAATATCTCCGAACAATAAGCTTTACATAAAATAACACCCGATAAAATAGGACTTTTATAATTTATATTCCAATTGATCATTTTGATAATCGAAATCTAAAAAAATTATTATTTGTATTATTTATCTCTCTAAAATGACTACTCGAATTAGAAACAAGTTGTAATTTTTTTGCCCATGACTGCCTGTGACCCAGTACCTTGACCACGGCATCTCAAAATCGTCAAATTAGGATAACTGTTATCAAATTTAATATTTTTTGATATAATTTTCACTCTGTTACATTTGTATTCATCTTATGTTCAATTTAAATTATTTTAAAAAAAATGTATACACTAGTTATTTAGTTTAGATTAATCTACTAAAAAAAATATCAAGAATATTAAAATAAATTTCAAAATAAAATGTAAATATTTTTAGAGTTTAGGATACGAGGCGAAGCATACAAATATTATTAAAAAATTACCAAAATTTTAATAGATACTACAATTTATACGTCTAATTTTCCAGAGGATCGAGCGGCGAAACTCCTTGCCCCTTCCTGTGGGCGTCCATGGATCCAATTCTATTCTGATTGGCTAAATCGCGAATATTGCGAAAAAGGGGAAATGGGGATATTTAAGTAATCTACTTCCCCATTATAAAATTCAATTTAAATTATTATATTATAGAATTGGATTAGTTTAAAGTTAAAGATTTAAAGACTTTTTTTAATTGTCTCCATTAAATATGGAAAGGGTGGGGTATGATAGGTTATTCAACAAATCAAATCGCGCATGTTTATACCCTTTAATGGAATTTAAGGTTAATTAATGCTTCCCAGCAAATGGCTTGGGTAAAATAATTCAATGCATTTACTTCTTCCTCCGGAACGTCGAAGTTGCGAAGCAATTGTTTAGCATTTTTGAGCGAAAGTTTTCTCAAATCAGCGTCAGTTCCAGTGACGGATTTCTTCGAGCCCGAGGGCCCGCTTTGCGGACCGGAAGTACCAATCTGGGTCGTGGTCGAAGAAGAGCTTGCGTTTTGTCCGCTGGCGTTAAAGGTCAATGATAACTCGTCTCGTGGTTTGTTAGATATTTTAACGTAGGAGAAGCCCTGTCCGCAGCCTAAGGGGAGGTCAATGAAATAATAAGAAGAAATATACTTGATGTCGCTATTTCATAAATTGCGCGTCTGATTCCAACTTCCCCCCCCCAAAGCATTCGACCATTTTTTTTTCTTACAACAATGATCGCTTTGAAAGAGTTAAAATAAATTTTTTTAACGAATAATTTTTTTTAACGAATGCTCTATAAATCAGGTTTTTTTGATCTGCAGGGATCAAGAAGATTCTTAGAATTTTTGATATCTGAAGATAAAAAAAACAAGATTTCTAGAATTGATTTTTTTAAATCAAATTTTGCCCAAAATTCTGTAAAAAATCTTTGGCGATTTCTATAAATCTTTCAGGATTAAAATCACAAATTTTTTTTTTAAAAAAAAACTTCTTGTCTATTTTTAAATTTAATTTTGTTAATCTTTAAATTTTGCTCAAAAGTTTTGGCCGAAAGAAAAAAAAAATTCAAATGCTAATTTGAAGTTTTTGTTAAACCCTAAAATATATCATATTATTCGAATTTTTGTGGATTTAACTTATGTCGCATTAAAAACAAAGTAATAAAATCAGTGTCGTCAATCGCTACTTTTAAAATAAAATATTAAAGGATGTGGGGTTCCTTTTCGCTATCATCTCCCTATTTTCTCCCACTTTTTTTTGCCCCAGATAAAATTTAAAAATTTTCTTAAATATATAAATATGAACCTGTAGGATCTGCTGCTCCATGTAGATCCAGTAATCCTTTCCCTCTGACGGCAGATAAAAATGCTTTCGTAGTGTTCCAAGGGGCAGCTTTAATCTCCTCTTCTTCCTCTTCGCTCCCGTTACCGCCTCCCGCTCCATCTTGACCACTTTTGGACGTAGAACCTTTTTTTTAAAATGAAAATCATTGAAAGGAATCGATATCCAGCTACTAAGAAAAAAATTACTCATGCCTAGATTGAAACAAAAAATTTTTTCAAAAAAAATTATCTCCAGTTAATATTCTTTTTCAAATATTTTTTCTACCTTTAATTTATACCTTCTACCACATTGTCTAATGAGTTTATTTAAATCAATTACCCGTTACTCCTGTTCCGCTGACTGCGGATAAACCGCTTATAAGAGCAGGTGGATAGCCGTATTCGATGAGGCGTGCCTCACCGGCTAGGCCGCTGTACCAAGTGCAGGCTCTTTCCGGTCTCACCAGCTCCCGCAATTCCTCTTCGGGCGCCAGTCTAAAATCCTTCTTCAAAGTCCATACACGAAAACGTTTCTGAAAACGGGAATGGATTGGGTGGTGGTGCTCCGAGCTAGGCCCAACTAACGTTTTTTTATAAAAAATTTTCAACGTGAACCCCTATATGTTTAATGACTTAAATTTCATCATTTACATAAGCCAATATTTTTTGGGCTAAAACACTTCTGCATTGATTTATTTAGTTTCGAATTCATTAATATATATGTTTTTTTAAATATTACAACAGCCAGGAGACCTAAAAATTCAATGTTTTTCAGGCCGAGACTTTGGTAAAAAAATTCTTTAGTAATAACAACATATAATTTAAAAAATAAATAAAAATTGATATAATAAAAATAATCGTCTTTTTGGGGATGAGATGAGAATAGAGATGAAGTGGGTGCGATTAAACTTGCGAATAGCAATAGCCAACCCTTGTCTCAAAGGAAGTCTTCACTGGGTTCATTGTGTAGTTTGCAAATGTGATAACCTAGTTATAGAAAATCATAAAGCGTTGTTAGGGTTGGTGGAAATACAAATGCTCCTTTTCCTCATATATGTTCAGTGCTTGGTTGGATTCTGCCAATGAGTCGATACAAGAATAGTCCTAGGCCAGGAATACTCTTCCAAGGAATTTGTAAAATCCATCCAGAAAATTTCCCATCAGATCTGGAAAGACCAGGAGGTTTTAGAATAAATGTTATTTGGATCGTACTTGTAGATGGACCTTTACAAGAGCGGCAATGAAGGCTATCATCCATTTTCCATCAACCGTTGAACTTAAGCCATGGTAATTAAGGGGTTGAGTTATCTAACAGTTTAAACGAACACCAATGGCGTGGTGAGTTCATTTTTGGTTGTGTAATTGTAAATTGGCCTAGGAAATAGTTTTAAAAAATTCATGACCAGAGACATCTAACAGAAAAGGGGACAGTCGTTTAATTATATTCTGGAAAGGAGTGATTCAATGCAACTTACATAGGCCTATACCAATCATATTGTAATCATACTGTGTATAAGTTTCCAGTTCGGGAAATTATAACGAATAACGTCAGTTAGTTTTTTTTAAAGTGAAAACACCCTAGAAATTCTTAACAATATTTCTCTTCATCGTTTTTATTTATTGAATTTAAGAAAAATATAAGCATTTACTTTGCGTTTGTACTTAAATCAACGCCTATTACTCGCTGCAGGCTACAAAAAAATAAGAAATGTCTGCTAATATTTCGTGATTATAATTGTCCAAAAAAATCAAAATTATAATTTTGAAAAAAAATAGATTTATTTATCATTAATTTAGAACATTTTATATATGTATATTTAAAATTCTAAATAACAATATTATTTTCAAGTTCTTATTTCAGTTTTTGAATGACTATTATTGCCCCATTTCGAGTTCGAAGTGCAAAATATATTGAACTGATAACGCGAAGGTCGCAAGTTCGAGACTCGTCTTAACCGCCATGTTCAAATATCGATTTTAATAAGTGTATTACAAGATATGAACAAATAGTATAATGATCGGTTTCTATAAATTTATGTAGATAGACTATAAGAATTTCGTTTAATGAATGTGGTATAATAATTATGTATTATATATATATATATATCGGTTTATATAAAATAAGTGATGTTTATATATGGGTTTTGTTAACGATAAAGTATAAAATAAATGGTAAATCAAATAAAGCATACAATATCTTAAAGTATTATACTCTGAGGGGCTGATATAAGCTAATATAAGATTATATTAATCTAAATATTATATATGATGAATAAAATGAAAGAAACCTATATCCCTTTGATTGGCGGGATTGGAATCAAAATCGGCAAAAGATTTAAGCTTCTTCCTCAGTGCACTCTCGGGCAAAGCCGGGAAAGCCCGTTTGACCTGTTCCATGTAAATACGAGGAGGCTTTTCTGGGCTGGCCCGAAAAAGGCGCATCAAGAATACCTGTATTATTAGCACATATTTTTCAAAAAAAAAAAATAGAAGTATAATTATTAAAAAATGATAAATTTTTTAAGTATTTTTTTCCCTGCCAATATTATGATTTGTTTTTAATTTTAATTTTTTGTTTTTTATAGGATAAGAACGATTTTTTACATGTAAAAAATCTCTCAAAAATTGGTTGGCTTTTTTGGAATTCGGGCAAGGAACCTCTATGAGTGGACATTCTTGGCCAACGGTGAATATATCCTTTATTTGACGTAAAAAATAGCCGTTCCTAGTTCTGATCACCAAAAAATGGGTGCTGGGGAACGAATGGAGATAGATGGGTGCTCTGAACATGTTGTTTTCTAGAGCCTTTTATATAAAAGAATATATATACATATATCTTTAATTTTCAAAAACTAAAAATAAAAGTATATAATTATTAAATTAAAAATAAAAGTATATCTTCGTACGTATTTCCATATTAAAATCAATCAACAAAAAAAACTCGAATTTTCAATCCGACTCGCTTGCCTCAAAATTTCGCTACTATATGTCTAAATCCTTTAACCATCTAAAAGAAAAATCTCCAGGTTTGCGTTATATTTTTTGGCCAAAATATGTGGTTGCTTAAAATATCGAGAAGTTTAATAACACTCACCACGCCACTTAATTCTTTTTTCCTGATTTAACAAAACATATAAGAAAATGTAAAAAAAATAGAAAACTATTCAAATAATATAAAAGGGCAAAAACTTGTAATCTCTGGCCGGGAGCTAAGGAGCCCAAAAATGGCGATGTGTGAGTATAAGCCATCGTTCCGTGTTCGAATTCTTGAATATTGGCTTCTTTTCCGGGCCTTCTTTTGTGATAATTTTTTACGAGTGTTGCCATACCTATTTTTATAAATTTTAAAAAAATATATAATAAATTTAAATGAAATTACTAAAATATAACTAGAATGGAGCTAGAGAGAAAGGGGTATATTACATTTACAGTACAACCTTAACTCTCCAAGTAGATCTTGAAGCGATTGCATATAAACTACACAGATTGGCAATTTAATTAAAAGTATCAATACATAGGAGTAAGGTGTAGGCCCATTTTGTGGGTTGCAGGTCGGTTTCTTCATCATTATATGAATACATTAATGTAATTTAATATATGTACAAACCACAAAATGGCGCTACTGCCGACTCCTATGTGTGGACACTAATAAATGCATTTAATAAATGAATCGCCAATAAAGTAGCGCATAATATTAATCATTATCTTGAAGTATCAAATTGTAAAAAAATTATGTTATCTCAATTATTTTGTTTAAAAAAAAGTAATTCTAGTGTGGGCTTACAAATAGAGCGTTAACGTTTCGTAGGTGTTTAAAAATTGGGTTTAAAAACCATTATGTTTTTTAAAAAAGCGCTGAAATCAAAATTTTATCCAACAAACGAATTACACACTCAAACCGTATTATTTCAAGTAAAATAAAAATTTTTGGCATAGTTCCACAAAATCTTACTAATTTCCAAAAGTATTTATGGCTAATATGATTGCAAATTTATTTTAAATGGCAAACCAATATTCATCATCAAGGGAGGGAATTCTTCCGAGTATTCTGCTAGCACCAATTCGCCATCCATAGCCGAGAGATCTTGGGGTGTGTGCATGAAGAACATGTCTCCACCACCCGAGGCTATCCTCTCGTTTTCCCGTTGCTAAAAAGGTGATATAGTAAGATAGAGAGAAATTAACGTTGTTAAGGTAACGAAAATTTTGAATGTAGCTTATAGTTTTTTGAAATTTAAAAAATGTAACTAGATACATTTTAAATAAAGAGTTATATAAATAGATGAAGATAACTTATATTCATGGCGACCTTTTGCTTCTATTATATGTTATATAAATAGTAAATGGGGATAATTCGAAATATAAGCTATGCTTTGGCAAAAAGCATTGTTCCATTTTAAAATAGTCATATATAGTTATAATAAGTATAGATTAAATGATCCAATAAAATTTAGTCGCGTTACTAGAAATGGGATAGAGGGCTACTCGCTACGTATAAATTTATTTTGAGCGCCTTTTAAAATGAAACATCCGGAATGTGGGTGGGCGACTCAAGAGCGGTTATGTTTTGGTCAATATAGAGATCATAAAACATTTTAAGTCCTAAAAGGAAGGAGCAAGTCAATCATAAGGTGGTGCTCAAATTTAAGAGTGTTTCACCACGAAATTAAAAATACTTGTGTGTATGTCGTATCAGGATATGGAATTTTGTATAAATTTAATAAAATCTCTCGATTAAATGCAATTTTTAAAATTGAAAAATCTGATTTAACCGGAAATATATTCCAGTATGCATGGTCACCTATCCTATAAATTCCAAATAATTTTTGACATGAAACCGTATATTTATTTTAACATATATGAAAAATCTTTTCTTTTTTTTTAAAAAAAGAGTAGCCGAAAATTTCACAGTAAACTTCCCCGAAATTCACAGTACGAATAATTCAATGGTGCATATATTATGTACCATTAGATTGGAGATTTATTTATAAAATGCATATCCATATCTAGGAGTCAGCTGTAGCTCCATTCTGTGGTTTGTATATTTATTAAATGACATTAATGTGCATAATGGCGTTATTGCTGACTCCTATGTATGGACATTTTTAATTAATGAATCGCCAATCTTATACCATGTAGGAATACATTTCCATAGTCAAATCAGATTTTTCACAAAAATCGCCCTAAGGAAATGATTTAAAAATTGTGATTCAGAATCCCAGTACTATTTATTATTTTGTATGGCGATATATAAAAACCTTCTTCAACCGTTCCACCCTTTCCTCCACGCTGGCCACGGGGAAGAATTGCCGCACCCCGCCCTGGGAGTTCTGTTGTTGAGCATGGGTGATGGCCAGGGCCCCATGACTATACTTTTTGAGTAAGGGTCGGTGAAAGTGCTTGAGCCTGAGTGGGCCCATGTGGGTAGGGTAAAAGGCGGGCCAGAGTTCGCTAGCCGGGGTCGAATGCTGCAACTGGAGGGCTGAGAAAAGTAACATGTCCTCGTTAAAGTTCGAGTTGTTAATAGGGGTAAAATTTTGGTTGCCGCCGATGCCTGGAAGGTTAAAAGGAAATGATTGGGATTTAGAAGATTGCGCCGAATTAGAAGCGGCGTTGTGGGACGAGCGAAACAGGTTGTGAAAATAGTGGTAATCGTTGGAGGTTAAATTCAGACGTTTTTCTAGGCTCTCCGGAGAAAAGGGACAAGTTTGCTGGTATTATTTTTGTATTAAAGAAGAAGATAGGGTGAATAGATTTTTAAAGAAACTTGATTTCAAATTCATAAAATTTTACGTTTTGGGAAAATTTATTGGGCAAAAGATATTTGAAAATTCAAATTTCTACCTTTGTAATGTGCATGAAATTTAGTTAATATACTATATACAGGAAGATTAACGTCCTATCATAATTAAAATAAATAAGCTGATCGTAATGGCCATCTCATAATTTTGCCCTAAAAAACATTCTCGTAATTAAAACATATTTTTAAAATATAAATTTGAAATTTAAGTATAAAGTGTTTTATAGAGATATTACCGGCTGCAAAATTGGTTGAGACTGATAAACAGATTCTGGCCAATTGCTCACTATATCAGGGTCATCTTTCAAATCCTTTTTTTTAAAATAGGAATAATCACATTTATATTCATATTTTCTGAATTTCAATATTCACACTTTTCACTTACGTAATAATAATATTGAATGAAATTTTGGTAATATATCGTAAGGTGCAGAAAATCGACATCAATCATTTTACAATTTTAAATATTCATATTTATTTATCCTATTTATCGGTGAAATCAAAAACGATAACTTAAGGACTGCGTCTCAGCCCTCAAATATTATGCATGATTCTACCAAAACAAATTTTTTTTAAAAATTATGTCAAAAAAAATGTCAATCATAATTATTAGACCTTCGAAATATAACTGAAAGATGTAATAAAATAATTGTTTATAAATTGACCATAATATAATTAGCGAATTTTAAAATTTAGTTTAAAGTGGATGGGTTTTCTAAGAGCAAAGACGTAAACATTGGCGATTTTGCGAATTCCTCCCAATCTTACCCATTACACCCTCCTCAACAGAATTTTTCTTTTAAAAATAGAAAATATTTGTTAAATATCATTTACAACATTTTAATTTACTTAAATTTACCACCATAATCAAATAGCTAAATATTCCTTAATTCATATTCAATGATTTTATATAATATACTATTGGTTATAAGTTGTATAACAAATAAAAAAAATCTCAAAGACTGTCCCAGAAATAAAGCTTCTAATAGAAGAAGAGAAGAAAAAAATTACGTCGGCATTCCAAATAATATCGTCTTCCCAATTCGTGCACGCTAATTCCGAATATTCTTGACTCAGCAAGGGCACGAAATTAGCCTCGTTCTTTTGTTCTAAAGGTAATATGCATAAAAAAATATATTAAACAGATGTTATTTTAATTTTTAAAAAATTATTATCCTCTTATATTTTCTTTTTTTTTAAATTTTTTCTTTTATCGACCTCTCTCATTCATTCACCTTTAGCCACAGGCGTTTTTTGACCGACAGCCGCGCTGTAGCTCCTAATAGTAGCAGCCGGTAGCCAGCCAACAAAGCGCTCGGTCTCATCCGTCACGCCGGCGGCGATCTTGGCTTGTTGAGCTGAAATCACGTGGTCCGGGCCTGCTTCCGCTGTTAAAAGGGCTGAACCGCCGTTTATGATGACTTGGTCTTCCCAGGGGGTCAGAGTTAGAGGGTCGTTTTCGTACTTTAAAAAATGGCGTGCATTATTTATATGTTTATTATTCGGTTATGTCAGTCAGTTAAATTTTTTTGTTATTATGATTAGATTTATTCACACACATCATTTTTTTTCTCTCGATAAGATCCAAATGATTACAAGAAAAACTAAGCCAACACCAATTATATATATTATTTTATAAGCTCAAAATTTTGGTCAATTGATCAAACAAGTTTTCATTTTTTTTTAATTTTAATAAACTTATAAGAGTGTCGAACCGAACCGCAAAAACCGAGGAACAGCTATTTAAAAAAAATAAAATGAGAACCGAACCGTCATTATTTGTTGAGTATGGGAGTAGTCATTTTTAAAATGAAACGTGTCACTTTTTTCATATATTGTAATACCCCATCTTCTTCGGAATAATACTCGTAGCCTTCGCTCTCCAATTCGGACGAAGATCCGGACGAAATGCTCTCCTTGCCCGAAGATCCTAACTTGTTTTTGTTCTCGTCGTCATCCATGACCGGCTTGTATAACGTGGGATGCCCCCTAAAATGGTGATCGCTTTGCATGGGTGTGTCTTTCATCATTTCCTCCTTTAAATTATTGTTTTTGAAACAAAAATGTATTATTATTATTTATAACAGGACAATATTATAATAAATATATCTAGTAAAATGGGAGGGGGGGGGGAGGCATAATAAAATGGGCATCTATATAGAACATACTAAGGTGGGTAATTCCTGAATTTTTTTAGAGGTGCAGTTGGTAAAAACATGGATCATTTAAATCTTAGAATTTACCTAGTTTCAGCCATGCAACTCTAAAAATCAAATAATGTTTGAAGCCACATAAACCAGGGATTCAAAACCGAACCTATCCTAAGCCGTTAAAACAGTATTAACCGTTATTATCTACCGAACCTAAACCGTTAAAAAATTTACCTTCAAATCTGAACTGCACCTCTAAAAAAAGTCAGGTTAAACCTTTTAATATTCTAACTCATTTAAAAATTATTAATAATGAGTAGTAACTATATTTTTGTATATTGCTATTTGACAATGCCAGCTAACTCAATTACCATACAATTTATTCTTTCTACTTATAGATATAAATTTACAAAAGAGAATCTTAAAAATATTTTAATTGTTATGCTTAATAAGATTTCTCTAGAGAATAGTGACAATATCTTTTTTTAATGTGCTTCTTTTTATATAATTCTAATATTATTGTAACGCAAAAAAGTTCAATCCAGTTTTTAAAGGTTCAAACCAACTCAATATTATTTCCTTAAGAACTTAACCTCACCATAAACTGTAATTTTTATCTGAAACCTAAACCAAACCGATATTTACAGTAGAGTTAGTATCTCTGATCTAAACCTTGCTCTTGATATCATATGCCAATTCCCTCTAGGTTTAACCAAAAATATATAAAAAGAAACCAAAAAAGGGAAAATTAAAAAACAAAAAAAAATAGAATTAAAATCAATTGCACAATAAGCCAGAACATGGCAGTCCTTAGAAATGTTTAACCAATCTCTCATTTGCATGGGCCTATGTATAAAAAATTATAAAATAAACTTCATCATCAGTCTCTATTTGCAACTCATAAGGTTGTTTAATCTCTGCTGTTTCATTTTGTGCTACTGTTTCATCTGTTGTAGGAAGTTCTAATATCAATTGTGCTTGTCTATCAAATTCCTGAGTTGATAGGATATTAAAATTATAGTTAAAAACAAAAAAAAATTATATATATCCATTATTTATAAAAAGTGTAAATTTTACTTTGTTAATTGGAATGTTATTTCCATTTTTATTTGCTGTAAGCTTATATAACTGATAGATTTTTCTCCTTCTCTTGCTAAAATTTCTCCATATCTTTGGTAGACTTGATGGTTTTCCAGGCCCAAATAATTTATTAAATCTTAAAATCTATTTTATAATTATAGCAATAAATTATAATTGTTATCACACACATCATTAAATTTAAAATGTGGGAAAATTTCATTAACATCTAAATTTGCAAGTTCAGATGGTATCAATGGGGCAAGTTGATCTCTCAGTGGCATTTTTATATTGTTTAAATATTTTTCATTATTTAACAATTTTGCTTGATCTATATTGGAATCTATTAAATCCAAATATATTATTTATAGTAAAATTAAAATTTATATATAAATTATCAAAAAATAATATTTTTATTTAAAATTAATATATTTTATATTTAAAACCTTCTACAATATCTAAGGTTGAAATATGTCTGTCTACATCCTCTTGATCAGAGGTTGTATCTGAAATATTTGAATAATCAATGGGAGAATTATATGAAACATTGCCTACATAAAAAAACGCTATAAAGTAATTTAGCATTATAAAATTACTATCAACATTTTCTATTTCTGTAACTATCTTTGATTGATTTTCTTCATCTTTAATATTTATATCAACATTGTTAAATATATTAAGATGTTTCAAAGTTGATAAATGTTGTTTGATATCCTAATTACATTTTTAATATATAATTTAATATTTTAGTTATACTTCATCGAATAAATTATCCTCTAAATCCCCCCTTACATCAATATTGCCTAATAAAAAATTAGAAATATCAAAATCATTTTCTGTCATTTTCAAAATAAAGGATAGATGCAAGGTTAATAACATCTGTTGAATTATGTTTGGAATAAATCCACAATCTGCAACTTCCCCAAGAAACTCCATCCTTCATCGTTCGCAGACTAAAGGGCCATTGCTCTCACCTCCACAGTCTCAAAGGTGTTCATGGCGCTCCTGAAGAACAGAATTCTTGATTCTACCAAAAACCTCCTGTCAAGTAATATTTGCGCATACAGGCCAAATAAGAACAACAATGAACCCATCCTAGCTCTTAAAATCTATCTACAGAAGTGTTTTAGATATAAACTTCCTTTTATATTTACTTTCATAGACTATAGCAAAGCCTTCGACAACGTGAAACACAATGCCCTCTGGGAGGCTCTAGAAGATTGCAATATCGATCCAAACATAATTAAAACTTTGAAGTACCATTACAACAACTCTTGGGCCAAATTACAGCTAGGCCATACTTTCTCACCTTACTTCAAGATTAAAAGAGGTGTGAAACAAGGCTGTGTACTATCACCTATTCTGTTCAATATAATCATAAACAAAATCATAAAAGAAACCACGAGCACCATGAACCTAATTGATCTATCATCAAATAATAATAATATCAATCACCTAAGAATCATCTCATACGCAGATGACCTGGTTTTAATCACCAAGTCAAGAGATGAGACAATAGACTTATTAACAAGTCTCTGCTTCCATAGCAACAAAGTCGGTTTAACCATCAACTTTAATAAAACTTTTATTATGCCATCCCCAGAGGCGTCTATAAATAACTTAACATTTGAGGGAAATGAAATTAAAATAGTTAACAATTTTAAATATCTTGGCGTGCTTATCGATAATAAAGGAAATATCAGCGGTGAAATCGAAGCCCGACTAAAAAATGCCAAAATAACCTTCATGAAATATTACAAACTATGGACAGCCAGAGAGATCTCAGTCAAAACGAGACTTCGAATATTTAACGCTACAGTCATTCCAGTCCTCCTCTACGGAAGCGACACTTGGGAAATAAATGAATCCCAGACAAAGAAAATACAGGTTTTCGTAAACCGCTGTCTGCGCCAGCTCAACGGTATTTTCTATCTAAGAATAATTTCAAATGCCAGCCTATGGCGAATCTCAAAAAACGTCCCGATCGAGACTACTCTCAAAAAAAGGCACATCCAACTCTTTGGTCACACCATCAGAAACTTCAGACAAAACATAGTTCATGAAGCTATAATCTGGCTCGAGTCTCATGAAGGTAAAACATACGGTAAATACAAGTCATATTGGCTATACAGAACGATAAAAGAAGTCATAAGCCTAAATCTGACGATGGAACAATTTATACCTCTAAACAATAATAAAAGCTCAAGAAAAAAGCTTCTAAAAATAAAATCCACGGTAAACATACATTTATTTATTTATTTATAAAACTCTTCATGTACCTAACCTTGATATAATTATCCAAAATATACTTAACTCACTAATCTAATATTCTTAAATAGTAAGGCAGATTTATTTAAAAAATATATCATATTTATATTAAATAAACAAATTCAATATAGACCATAAACTTAAAATTTACCAATACCCCTCCCTATAATATACATTTTACTTAATCGGGTACGGGCTTTTCTCTCTCTTCTTATCTCCCGTAGGCGTTTAAGCAAGTGGTTTCGCCTCTTGCGCGCACAGGTAACTGCAGCCTGCCCAAAAACTGTGGATGGGCTCATCTCATAGGCTACCCCCAAATTTCTTAACCCAATTAGATGGGATGAGATAGTCCAAGCGTAGCTCTGCTGTTTCATATAGCGATAAAGGGTAATTGCACTTATTATGACGTATGACGTATGTAATTTTGTTAGACTTAGACAGATATTTGAACCAAACTTAGATATGTGGTTCTAAAAATATTATTTTTACTAATAAATACTCCTGTTATTTAGGTTTTGTAATGATCAGAGTTAAGAGTTGTGTCAAAACTTGTTATTTAAAATAATTATTAAATTTTCTTATTTTTCTTTTAAAGAATTGTTTTTAACACCTTTTTAGAGGAGGAGAGGCTGAGTAGGTAAAATATTTTTAGAATAATACTTACAGAAAACATAAGTTTTAAGGGAAACCCTTTTCACCTCCTTACCCCTATGCTGTCTCAAGCTTCCTTTTATGATGCTTATCTTTCCTTTAAAATAAACCGAGTAAATCGTATCATCACCATCTAGAAGATAAACGAAAATTATAAACATGCATATTTATTATTATGCTCAAAATTTATTTTTGTGTCACTTCTCAAAAAAGATCAGAATTAATACCTTCAAATGTTCAGGGACATCTACCATGGGACGGACTAGAGGTAGTTTTATTTGTGTAAAAATTATTTTGGTTAATTTAATTTCGTTTATTTTTTATTCAAGACTTTTTTTTATAAAGGTGAATATTTATATAAATTTATCGTACTTTTTAAAAGTCAAGAATAATATTGATAAATGTATTATTTTTCAAATATTTGTTTATAGAAAGATTAAGAGAAATATATATACTGGTAATTTGAAAAAGAAGAAGTTTGATTTTTTTCTAATTATAAAATTATTGATTGTGAATTATGGGGTTTTAATGGAAGATAGAGATCAAATAATGTTAATGTTCACCAGTTTTTTGTCCTATATTTATGAATTGGAGGTTGTATTTATAATGACGCTATCATCATTTGAATAAAATTATATGAGTTTTGGTGGTAGTTAAATTTGGATTTCCTTTTTTTTAAATTTTGATTTGGATTTTCAATATTTGCTAATTTATATTTGTATTTTAATGTGGGTGTATAATTTTGAAGGTGGTAAAATTTTGAGTGGTAAGATATTTTTATTAGCTTATTTGCAGTGGCTCCTACACTTTTTGAGCGTTGAAAAATAATTATTCTACCTAAAATATACCCTCCCACTCCAAAAAATAGCAGTTAATTATTTTTTTGACTCTCAACCTCAACTATATATATCAAAAAAAAAATTTTGAATCCATCTTCTATATATAATATTATATATTTGGTCAAAAAATATACATCTTAATTAATTTATTTTTAAAATAACAATTTAGATGTTAAAAAAAAGGGGAGGATAGATATAAATAATTTATATTCCCGTGAATATTTAATTGTTCAATAAATTTTGTTCCATTGATAAAATAGGTTAAATTATTAAGAAATAATGGGCCGCGTATGGTCCTAATATTATATTTTCTAGCGGGCCTGGGCCGGGCCTGGATTAAAAAATTTTTTTAATTAGCTTGGGATGAGCTTGGGCCTAAAATTATTAAATTTAAATTTAGATTATTTAAAACAGTTTCTAAATTAAAGAAATATTGCCTTTTTTATCTTCTAATAATAACAAATTTCAGTATTGTAAACAAAATGATTGCCTAGATATCATAGGCGTAGCCAGAATTTTCATAAGAGGGGGGGGGAATTAAAAAATTACTGGGGCTTCGCCCCTAGACCCCTTTTAAGCGGGCCTTCAGCCCGCTTTTCCCCGGCCTTCGGCCAGGTTTTTTTAGTCTAAATATAGTCATAAAATATTTTTACAAATATTAATAAAAGAAATAAGACTGGAACAAATATGAAATATATTTTTATTAGTTTATATAAAATAAAATTTATAATAAATTACTTGTATTGTATATAGCTTAATATAAAAGCATTGTAATAATTTATTCCAAACAATTATAAGAAATTTATTTATAAAAATCAAGTAGACATATGATTTTACTCTATTATATAGAATTAGTTATAAAATACTAGGTAAAATTCCACTTTTACAGACATATTTGATAGTATATATTACAGTTAATAATTTAACAAATTTTAAATATAGCAACAATTTGCATTTAATTATTTAGCACCATCTATTTATTTTAAGTAAAAAGGATATTTAAATTAATCTTCATATTATTCATCCCACAATGTCTTTAAAAGATATTTTCAGATGTCCTTATCAATATTTTATAGTTTTCTGTAAAATATATAATTCGCTATATTTGTAAAAATTACTTGATTGTCATTTGATAATTAGATATACTGTAAATCTACAACATATAGTATTCCACTGTTTGTATTGTTCTTTACTATTTTTTTAATTAATGATTTAATTTTATCAATAGTTTTATAATTATATTTTACTTTTATTAAGATAAATAAATTAAAATCACTTAACTTTATTAAAAATTATATTTGATATATTATATTATTTAGTAATTTTATGGATCTATTATTAATAATTATAATACATTTCACTTCTGTCTTAAGACTTATCTTTGGCTTATATTCCATTTATTAAAAAACATTTTTGGTTCATTTTATATATATATAAATGTATTTTCCCAAAAATCTATAAATTGTGATGAATAGTTTTATAAAAAAATATCAACTTTTACATTCTTTCTTTTAAATTATTATTTAAGATATATGCATACATATTTGAGGGTCAGGGGGTGGGTGGGAGGAATAAGGGGGATATTTTTTATTAGCTAAAAATGATATTTACAAAAAGTGATAAATTTCTGAAGGGGGGATTTTACCTTGCCCCCCCCTTGCGACGCCTATGCTAGATATATTTAAATATTGTTTATATTAATTAAAAAAATAAAATTATATTTTTGGATATGGGCTTGGGCCGGGTTTAGAAAATTTTTTTGAAACTTATCATGGGCTTGGGAAATTTTTTTAACATTAGATATGAACCGGGCCGGGCTTGGGCCTAAAAAATTGTTTACTGCGAGCCTGGGCCAGATTGTTCAAAAAATTAAGGCCCATGAAGGTCTCTGAAGTAAATATAACAAAGTTAGGAACAGCACTATAAAAAATAAAATTAGATGATAAAAGTTTATTACTGAAAAAGTTAACAAATTTTAAAGTTAATATATAAAACAAAAATTATTAGTTATGTAAAATTATTTACAAAATTCAATTATTTACAAAATAAATTGATATAAAAACAAAAAAATACCTTTAGCTCAAAGATTGTATTAAATGAATTTAATTAAA